TCGCCTTGCTGTTTGATAAATCGTATTGTTAAGAGAAGAGAACTGCAGAAATGTATTCAAAAATTCTTCATAATTTTTCCAACCTCAGGAACCTATTCAACAGTAATTAGCCTTGAAGGCAGCTGATTAAGGACACCCCAGCAGGGGGCTGCTCTTGAGTTTAAAGGTTAACACCAAGCTCTGTGTGAGAGAGTTTCAGCTTTAGGACTCCGGTCAAGTTCTGCCTACCCTAGCCTGCTTGCTTGCCTTGTCTTTTCGTACTCTCTCTCCCAACTCACTCCCCATCTCACCCTGTAGCCACCATTTCTAAAATAAAAAGAAGTCTGCAGAGGGTGACAAAATTAAACCAAATGAAACTTTAAACTCCAATGCAGAAGACTTCTGTCTCAGGAAAAAGTAGCTGTCTTCAAGGCAAAACTGACTGACTGGATTGAACTGAATTATAATTTCTGGTTCAAGCTGAGTTGTGTCCCTGGAGTGGTTTGACCTGTTCGTATTAGCTTTCCACTGTCCATCCATATTTGTCCCGGTGGTATCAAGAACATCACAGAACTATGGGTATGACTTAAAGCTAAGTTGAAAAGAGGCTCTGCTGTCTTCAGAAAGGGGAATTTATGTGTATGTGTGTGTGTGTGTGTGTGTGTGTGTGTGTGTGTGTATATATATATCTATTTCTTTCTTTCATTACAGGCAGCCTGCCTTCTTCAATGGAGGCACAGTATAGCTGATGGTTGAGCCATAGTCATTGATTGCAAAGGGATGTGTTTAGGAAGGAGAGAAATAGCTGCTCAGAAATTGCCTTCTGTCTCTCTCAAATTGCACTGTTGGGGGAACTACGTAAGTGCAGAATTGTGGGGAAGTGTGCCCATGGAGGTGTGTATTACAGGCCAAGAGGGAAAAAAAGAGTCTGCCTTCTCTTCTCCTTTGAGAGTTACGTTAGTTTGTTAGGGCTGCCGTAACAAACTACCACAACTTGGTTTAAACAACAGAAATGCATCCTCTCAAAGTTCTGGAGGCTAGAAGTTCAAGATCAAGGTGTCATCAGGGTTGGTTTCCTCTGAAGCCTCTCGTTTTGATTTGTAGGTGGCTGCCTTCTCCCTGTGTCTTCACATGGGCTTCCCTCTGTACACATTTGTGTCCTAATCTCCTCTTTTTATAAGGACACCAGTCATACTGGATTATTGCCCACCCATACAACCTCATTGAATCTTAATTACTTCTTTAAAGACCTTACTTCCACAGTCTCATATTCCAAGGTACTGGGATTAGGATATCACCATATGAATTTGGTGATGGAGGGAGAGGGCGATAAGTCCACCCATAAGAGCTAAAGATATTTCATTATCACAATTGACTCTTGGTTATGGACAAATAAAGAGTTAACCATAATGAACTTTCTATAAGTCCTTTTCACTACCACCGCTTCCTAATCCTAGTACTGAAGGGCTCCAGTCTCTCCAAGGCTGAATCCCAGAGGCAACAGAACCTTAGGGGACCCATGGATGTCGAGGGAAAGTAGCGGGAACGTTGATGCAATGTGGTTAGCATGAGAGGTGGCTTGGCTGATGCTGAATACAGAGACCAATGATCACCATCTTCAGAATACATTTACTGACTGGTGCAGGGTATTTAGTTGCCCTGTGGTGCTGGTTTGGATTCAGGCTTCTTTAGAGTCAGTGCTTGTTTCCAGGCATCATTGTTCTTCTCCAGACAAAACATATCAGAATATTTCATGGAAAGATATATTCCTCTCTCTCTCTCTGTCTCTCTCTGTCTCTCTCTCTCTCTCTGTCTCAGTGTCTCTCCAATTGAAATTTGTGTGTTTCAGGTACATACTGATGCTTTAAGTCAAAGGATAAGTTTATTTGTTTTTAATGAGATAAAATTAATCACACATTTAGTTTCCATTGCTTTGTCCCTGTGATCCACAGGATATTTCTGGCTAGATTTCCTACTATCCAACTCACTAGCGGCCTGCGTTTCATTACTATTTTTCATATAGCTTTCTTGCTCAGAAGCAGTTTCCTGATCTTTTCCCATGGTGTTCAAACATGCTGAAATCTTTGCCATGACTGGGCAGCAACTGTGACTTTCATCAGAGGTTAGATCTCAAGGTACCAAAGTAAGGGGAAGTAACATGCTGGAAGCACAATAGTTAACCCAAGGAGGATGCCAAATCAAAAATCGATTTGAGAAAGTAGAGGTTCATTCCTGGGGAGTCTAGGAAAGCCCAAGCCCAGAGCATCAGAGAAAGGCTGAAGGCTCTGTTCACAGGTGTCAGGCAGAAATAGGACTGAACTCAAGGCTGCATTCACCACCTAATTACAGTCCATCTTATCTGCCTTCCATTTGCCAGACTGTACGCCACAGTGCTTGAGACACAAAACCAGGTAAGAAATGGTCCAAAAAATCAAGGATGGTATATCTAAATGGACAGTGGGTGGTCCGTAGACACACACTCATGTAGTAGTATTATGATCTGCTTAGATATTAGTGGTTGATGGTTAGATGGGTTAGATTAAAATATCACAAACATGGCCTAAAATTTGGATTAGCTTGCAAACCACTTGAAGAATCAGCGTGCATCCACACGGACCATTGCCACATTTCCCAACCACCCTCAACCAACCATATCAATCTTCCAACACTTCTCTGTTCAAGGCCATCAACGAGTTCCTAATTGCTACATGCAATGGTTTTTTGGTATCACCCACCCCTCATTCCTGCAGCTCTCTCTAGCCTACTTATGTTCCCCTGCTTTGTCTAGGTCCTCTCCACTGGTTCTGTCTCTTCTACTGTCTCAGCCCAAATGTTCAAAATGTCCTCCATAGTCCTTCTCCTCCATCCTCCCCACTCTTTTCTTTTTTTCTTTTTGAAACAGGGCCTCTCTCTGTGGCCTAGGCTGGAGTTCAGTGGTATAATCATGGCTCACTGCAGCCTCTATCTCCAGGATTCAGTTGATCCTCCCACCTCAGCCTTCCAAATAGCTGGGACTACAGGTGTTCATCACCACACCTGGCTAAATTTTTGGTTTGTTCGTTTGTTTGTTTGTTTTGTACAGAGAGGGTTTCGCCATGTTGCCCAGGCTGGTCTCAAACTCCTTGGCTCAAGCAATCTGCCTGCTTTGGTCTCCCAAAGTGCTGGGATTACAGGCGTGAGCCACCATGCCGAGCATCCCGGCTCTTTCCTCTCCCACAGCACCTCCTGTGACTGATTCTTTAGTGTGCACTTCAAGCCCACCCTCTCTTTCAACTTCAGACCTGCACTTCCACTGTCAACTTAACCTGAGTGTCTCCACCAGAGGCTCACTCAAACGCACTGTGTTTAAAATACAGATCAGATCTTCCTCTGTTTCTCCATTTTTTCTATTTTCTACTCATTTAATGGTATTCATCATTCAGTTGACTGCACTAGAAAAGCCGAAAACACTCTCGTGAATGTTAAACATCTCTGAATCTGTTTAGCACATAGCACATTTATCAATGCACATTTAATACATTAATAGGTAATTGCAGCAAAAAGTCTTAACTACATACCCAAGACTTTTCATAACACACCCCACTTTTCCCCTACCCAAACCAAAATTATTTTGTTTTCATTATTTCTTAGGACAAATCCTCAGAGTTCACTCAGGCTGTCCCCACCTCTCACCTTTATATCCGTCTGGGAATAACATACTGACTTAGCCAGGTTTTTGCATGTTTTGCTTTCCTCTTCTTGACTGTTTTCCTTACCATCTGTCAAAGTCTATGTATCTTTCAAGGCAGGTCCCCTCACCTGCCCTAGATAATACTGTCCTTGACCACATGAGACCCTGGTAACACCAACACACCACTACCGCCCCCAATCTTCACATTCCTCTGGCACCTTACATCTGTACCACAGAATTTAGCACCTGGCTACATACTTGTTCTCTTTCTTTGGTATAAACAAGGCAGAGAGCCAGTCTGTTTTCCAGTGATTCGCAGACATGGTAGATTCCTCCCAGAGTTGTTCCCAGAATTGTGTCTTTGAGAGGGAATTTGTATTCTTCCTTTCTTCAGATGGTAAAAATCCGGGTACCTCCTTGTGATATGATGTGTTTTCCCTTTTGTCTTAGTTATCAGGAAATTTAGAGCTGTTTCAGAACCATATTGTAATAATCAGCTTATCTCAGGATCCTGGTAATAGCTATGTATTCTACCTGCCTTCTTTAGAACTCTGTTGTGTGTTTGTTCTTAATTTTGCAGTATATTTAACTTGTAAGACTCCATAAATCCTTTTAGAACAAAGTAAGAAAACAGATCCCCAAATAAACGATATTCTTCTCTTATTATATCATAATTTTCATTCTCTTACCTGGATTGTTTGTGCTTGAGAACAAAATCAGATCTTGTATTTCTTTTGATTACCCAAAGTAGAAAGCATATGTTAGGTCCTTAATAAATCATTGCTGAAATATGTGCTTTGTTAAAGTAAGTTGGATTATTTTAAATTGAGACAGAAACATCTCCTAAAATGACATCATTCTAACAAAGGAACCTTAGCGTGTTTTATTTCTGCTGACGGCAGGAGAAATAAACATCTTCTGATATTTTGAACATATTGGTAAATGTTCAAAATATCAGAAGAAAAACATGATAAAAATAAAAAGTTGAAGTTTTAGCTATCACCGGCATCTAGACATAAGACTTGAAACAGGCAAGAGGATTAACAAAATCAATAGTTTACTGCCAGTAACACTTACCAGATAACAGAGTGCATTTTTTCCCCCGCAACCCCAAAGCCCTGCTGGCTGCCTTTCTAATAAACACAGTGTTCAGGTGGTGTCTGACTTATTTTTTTTTCTTCCCTTATCCCCATTTTCACTCCCCCTTCCTAACATAAGATGGCAAACATTAAAATTGGCTTTCAATAAAACTACCTGTGCCAGTCATCAAATTCTTTTCTTTCTTTCCTTTTTTTTTTTTTTTTTTTTTTTTTTTTTTTTTTTTTTTTTTTTTTTTGATTTCTTCTTAAAGCTCACCCAGGGAGAATCGTTTGACTTTGAAAGAAACCACAAGAATGTAATCAGAGTCACCTCCAGACTTGGCCTGTGTTCATACTTCCTGTCCTTTTACCTCCACCCCTACCCTACCCACCCACAAACATTCATACATTCATCCACCAACACGTACCTATGGCTGTTAAATATGTATGCAGACTTGTGAATAATTCATAAAAGTACAAACACTTTTGAGACTTGAAATTTATTCAGCTGACTGGGCTTTACCATTGTCCAACAAGTAGGGACTTAGTGAGTCCTTTCTTTTGCTCCTTTAACCAGAGTGGAAATGTTTTCCTTTTCATTGTAATGATATACTAAACGAGTTGCCTTCCCCAACCTCCTCCTCCTAAGTAATAACATTGCGGAGAGAGCGCACACACTTAGAAAGAAAGAGAGAATGAGAATAACAAATACAACTATCTACATAATTATGAGATCAAAGATGTCCCCACCCCACCTTTCTGCTCTAATCTACATTTTAGTCTAATGTTGGAAGATAAATTAAAACTCATCTTTATCCCCAAAGTAGCCATTTTTGTACCAAACCAATGTGGGTCCATCCTGACCAGCCTCCTGTGACCTGAACCTTGCAAATTGTCCAGGACCCATAATTAATACTAGACTATTTTCCCACTGCCACTTCCAGCATCCTGAATCACCTCACCTCACATTTAGAGCATATTTGTTTCTTGAACAGAAATTGATTTCCATTTGGCTTTAGTGAAACAGAATAAGGTAAACAAATCTGCTGCAAAGCAGGAAGCGTATTAAATATATTTTACATTTGAACAAAATATGTTGAACTTCTGCTATTTGTGATTCTCCATGCTGGTTCTCTCTACCATTAAAATAAATACAAGTAATATCTGTACTCATATTAGATATAATGTAAAATACATAACGTTTAGCAATGGGAGATGTGGGAGTGCAGAGCTACATAAAAAACCTCTCTTTGGCTCTTTGAAAATGTGTCCTTTATATATATGGTCTATTATTGATGCAAGAAATAGAATTAAACATTTAGATAATTTTACCATTAGATTTTATTAGACCTGTTTGATAGGATAAATCTGGGCACTTTGGTATATATTTCTTGAAAAACATAAAATCTGTCTAAATGTCATGTTTACTAAATGTAGCAAGATCACTAATGTCAGATTAGCTTTGGAAATTAGAAAATGTTAACCTGAGCATGTGAGAAATAAATATGAAGGGGGAATCAAAGTGTAATCCATGGATCTGAGTTTATATCTGAAATGTTTACGCCTTTCTTGAAGAATTGTGTGTGTGGGCCAGGCGTGGTGGCTCATGCCTGTAATCCCAGCACTTTGGGAGGCCAAGGTGGGCAGGGATTGAGACCATCCTGGCTAACATGGTGAAACCCTGTCTCTACTAAAAATACAAAAAAAAATTAGCCGGGCATGGTGGCGGGCGCCTGTAGTCCCAGCTACCCGGGAGACTGAGGCAGGAGAATGGTGTGATCCTGGGAGGCGGAGCTTGCAGTGAGCTGAGATCGCGCCACTGCACTACAGCCTGGGCGACAGAGTGAGACTCCGTCTCAAAAAAAAAAAAAAAAAAGAATTGTGTGTGCATATGTATATATGTATATTTAATTTATTTATATACGTGAAATGGGTTGTTAGCCAGATGTTAGAGTAAAATGTTAGCAGTTTAAGGGCAAGAGTGAAAATATTTTGCTACTTAACTTACCCACTACTAAAATGTGTTTGCACAATTTGACATTGAATAAGTAATAAATAAACAAAATAAGTCAAGCCTGCATATTCTACTTTATTTGCTCATTCTTCTAAGTTTTCAAGGCTTCAAGGTGCTGATACAACCACATGTCTAGCTGCCTCTAGGTCCAGTCCATCCTCAGCCCTGTACACCCTCCTAATCCTTAATACCAGTGTCCACCTTTTCCCTCCAACCTCCTAATGCAGTCTCTAATCAACCTGGCTATCACAGATATATAGAATGCTTCTTTGTCTAAATAATACCGTGTTGGACATGAAACCACTCAGCCATGGTAAAAATAGAGTTGGAGCAAAGCAACCAAAGAGGGGCTCTTTTGAACCTGCTTGCCTCCTTTACTGCCACATGATCTTTCAGAGAGAAAGACTATCAGTCCAGAATGAGAATAGCAATCCAGAGAACAGCTGCCTCAATTTTGCTAATGAGCCAGCTTGGCTGAACCTGGTTTTGGAGACATAGTGACTCTCTCTGCCCTCCTCGACTGAAATAAGCAAGAAACCAGAATGCCAGTGGAGCCATAGCCGTTGAAATGGCTGTAAGAGGTAATTCAAAAGAGCATCCTTCCTTGCTTCCTGTTTTCACAATGGTTCTATATAGATTTGTGCTATTAAAACACCAGTTTTGAATGAGAACCTTGGGTGGAGCTGATATTCATGAAAATCATGCCAGTGAGGGAAACACTCCTTTTATGAATTAAGCAAAGCTTGTAGCTTTTTTCCATGGCTTTAAACACTCAATACTAGTCAAAACCTGTGAATATGTATACATTCTTTTATATGGATAATTAGCTTCTTTATTGGTGGCGCCTCCTGGATTAGGAGGATTCTTCCATGCAAATAAGCAGTAGAGAGAAGCAGTGCAACAAAGAACACCTTTCATGTGGCTTCAGAACTTATTTAGCAAAACTTCTACATTTGTAGAGAAGTAAATGCTAAATTCCTGAATTTCTATAACCTTCTTTCAAATCGTTCCATATTAACTAATTCAGATTAAAGTCCTTGCATATTTTTGGTTAATGCACACAAAAAACAAATAGACCACCATACATAGTCTGTTGAGAATAGTTCACCAAAATTGTTTATGTCCAGTTTTGAATTTCTGACCATGATACAAATAGGTAAAGATACCATTTAGAGATCATAGTATTGTTTGAATATTAGCCACAGAAGTTAAGATAAATATAGGATACTTTGTGCATTAGAAGGATCTCAAATTAAGTTGCAAATAAGGTTTTCCAGTGATAGTACCAAATTCATAACATCTCCCTTGGTCCAAAAGAGTTGGCTTTTTGGTTTGGTTTGTGAGTTTTGGTTTACTTGTTTGTTTAAGCACTTTCTTTTTATGGTGGAAGCCTCCATTTTTGTGTGAGCCTGAAGTTTTGGGGTCCTTTGGTGGTTTTTTAAAAGTGATATTGTGGTCTCACATTTTAATGTTTCCTGGAAGAAGTAGCTAGCTATTTATTTTAATTACTTCACAGGAACCCACATGACAATTTTTGAAGGACATTTTCTTATTACTCATTGTTTATTATTTTGGTCATCATTTTTCCCAACAGGATATAGTTTTTAAGGTAAGATTCCATGAGTTTTCCTTTTACTTCAGAATTTATAACTTATAAATTTTACTTTTAGTTTCTGCCCCTTTTCCCACCAACCCACATGGTGCCCCCTACCACACTACCCACCCAAAAGATATTTTCATGGTTTGGGTCACTTAGAGACAAATGCAACCTCAAGAACCACAATATTTGGAGGTGTTAGGGGACATTTTAACATAAATCTTCCTATTCACCAGCCTTCAAAGCACTAAATCCTGTTGGGATGCTTAGAGGCGCCTGATAAGAGAAAAGTAAATAATACAGAGGAAAACAACCATTATATTCTCTAGATTTAACTTTGGCACATATCTGACATCAGAAATAGAAACTCACCTCTTGTGAAATCATTTTGTTTAATTGATCAGAAAAAATCTGCCAGTCTATTCATTTTCAGACATATATTTATAAAACTAAAGCTCAATCTAGAGATCAAGTCTTATTGTAAAACATTGATAAATGTTGTAAGTTTCATTTTTTAAACAGATTTCACTACTTGCCACTCTTATGTGAATTTAATATTTTATTCCTTCTCTAATTGATCAAATAAGAAGTTTATTACTAATTCCATAATTTTAACTTTTTCATTGAACACCACCCTGGTGCATTTTATATGTATGTTTTCATGAAATACAGAGTAAGAAAAAAATCACTGTGATATGAACTCCACAAAACATAAAGGAAGATGGCTTTAATGATAATAGTTACCTCTGGAAAATATTTTTACATACTTTTTTTCCATTCTATCCTTACCGCAGGGTAACAAATCACATAATAAAGCAGTTATAGAATCACAAAGCTAATAGGAGCCCTTGAGGTCAGTAGCTCCAGCTTTCCATCGTAAGATGAGAAAAGTAAAATCCAAGGATGTTAAGTTAAATTTCCCAAGGTCTGTAGTTTTCCACTGTCTCTCATTACCTTTTCTGCTCCATGCTACCTTTGCTGCTCCCATCTTTCGGATAATATAATTATAGTCCCTCACCCAGAGTCATACAAATCTTCAGTGAACTGGACCCCAAGTCCTTGCTTTCTAACATCATTTTTTTCCACTCTCCAGTGCATAGCCTGCTGTTCATCTCTGCTGTATAAAGGACCATTCCTATCCTATTTCTAGTTTTCAGGAGAAAAATATTCCTGTTCATCTCACAAGATGCTAAAGACTCCTGCAAATATATGGATAACATCCTCAGGATCATTAACAACAGACTCAGGAAATGAAATAAGCATCTGACTGCATTATTCTTAAACTGTTTCTACAAGTTACATAGTATGTGCTTAGTAAATATTGGTTGAATTGAATGGAAGAGTAAAAAAATAGAGGTAACAGGTCTTTTTCTTTTTTTTTAAATAAGGACTGAAGTTCATTGCTATGTTTTGTAGAAGGACCATATAGTCCCAGTAAATAGAGGATATGCTTAACAACTAGGAAAACCTGAGAACCAAATCCAGCTTTACCACTTAACAACCTTTGTGGCCTTGGGAAAGTTACTAACTTTCCTGAACTGTAATTTTCCTTTCTGTAAATACCGTCTACTTTACAGAGATTTTATGCGGATTAAATTAGACAATGTACATATAGAGTCAGGCACACAACAAACACCCAACAATTTACCCTCCCTTGCCCTTCATGTCTGCCTGGAAGGTGACCGGTAGCTTGCTTCTCTGCTCTGTTTGAGTCAGAGTATTAAAATCAAGCTGGGTTGTGCCTGGATACTTTACCATTATTGTAACAGTCCTGGAAGCACAAGGTGCCACAGCTTTATTTCATTGGCATGTACCACACGTCCAGTAGGCCATGTAACAGTGTAGTTTTCCTTTTCCCCTTTAACAGTTTGCTGATACTGAACATGGCATAGAAAAGGAAACACAGGTGAAGGGGTTTTTTTTCTAGTGAAATTTGATTGTTTTGAAAAATGTGTTTTACAGTAACTTGCTGTGGAACAATATTTCATTTGCTAAATGGCCTTGAGAATTTTGTAGAGTAAATCTTTAAAATCATAAAGCTTCTGTAGCTTTCATATGTACAAATAGTATTATAAGATTCATTCTCAAAAGTATTGGTCAAATTTGCCCCCATCATCTCTAACCTTTTCAAAACTTGTAGTATTCTAAAATAAGTGGTAATGCACAAGCAAGCTATAACATGTTTGTGGATCCAGAAATTTTTGTGTCATAAATTCAAAATCTTTAGAATCTTTAGAACCTCATGCTTTTAACTTCTTTATGAAAGTTGTAATACTTTAAAATATATATGAGTTTATGCTAATACATGAGTTTACCAATTCTAATACTTCATGATATACATGAGTTTACCTTAAAATCTTTTATATAAAGTATTTGAGACAGATTTTTTTTTAAATCAGGTCTTCAGATCACCCTTTGAGCCTGAATAAAATAAAATAATAAAATCCCTTTATCAAAAAATACAACTAATATTCAAAGAGCACTATTGCAAGTGACATTTGCCTATGCCCATAGGTTATGCCTGTGCTTTACTTGGCAATTAGTGGTTCATAGATGTCAGCCTATGTGGTACTTTGATAACAAGTTCAATCAATCCTGATCAAGACTTTCCCAACCTGCAAATTTATCAATGTTAAACAGAGTCTTTGAAAATATAAGCCTTCCTCCTTTCTCCCAAACACACACGTACTGTAGCCTAGAATTACTTGCACAGTGACTTTTATAATAAAAGGTTCAGTCTTAGGGTGAAGGGGGATAAGGAGGTTGGAGAAAGGCTAGAGAGCAATAGCATTTCAATCAATACTATTAAATATAAGAAACTGGGTTTTGGTAACATGAACAATAGCAGTTATTTCCAGATACTTAAAATGTGAAGTCTCCAGAATATACTACGGTTTTGGTTACATTTCTCAGAGAAGAAACTACTAAAACAAAAAAGGAAATAAACAAGACACTAAAGATTTACAGGATAATTAAAGAATGAATGTATAAAATAATATCAGTTCCTTAGAAAATGACTGTTTAAAGCTGGGTGGTCTTT